GGGTGGGTGTGTAACCTGGGAAAAGGGAACAATTCCCATCAGGAATTCCGGGATGAGCTGGGTTTGCCCCAAGCCAGGATGGGTGTGTAACCTGGGAAAAGGGAACAATTCCCATCAGGAATTCCGGGATGAGCTGGGTTTGCCCCAAGCCAGGGTGGGTGTGTAACCTGGGAAAAGGGAACAATTCCCATCGGGAATTCCGGGATAAACTGGATTTTCCCCCAAACTCTTCCCTGTGTCCCTCAGTGTGCAACGAGATCGACCAGTGGCCGCCGCCGGTGCCCGGGCAGACGCTGAACCTGCCCGTGATGGGAGTGCTCATCCAGGTACCCTCAGGGGAGGGATTGCACCCTCCTGGAGGTGAAATCCCGGGAAAAGCCCCACATTCCCACAACTTTTCCCGTGGGAATCGGTGCTGGAGGAGTCTGTCCCCCCTGTGCAGGTGAGGATCCCGTCGCGGGTGGACAAGGCCGGCTCCAGCCCGGTGAGGCAGTGCAACCAGGAGGTGAGAGGGGATCCTGAGGGAGGAGCTGATCCCTGGGGATCCTGGGGATGGATCCTGGGATCCTGGGGATCCTGGGAATTCTGGGGATGGATGCTGGGGATCCTGGGAATCTGGGGATCCTGGGAATCCTGGAAATCTGGGGATGCTGGGGATCTGGGGATCCTGGGGATCCTGGGAATCCTGGGAATCTGGTGGTCCTGGGAATGCTGGGAATCCTGGGAATCCTGGGGATGGATCCTGGGAATCCTGGGATCCTGGGAATTGTGGGGATCCTGGGAATCCTGGGAATCCTGGGGATGGATCCTGGGAATCCTGGGATCCTGGGAATCCTGGGGATCCTGGGAATCCTGGGAATCCTGGGGATGGATCCTGGGAATCCTGGGGATGCTGGGGATCCTGGGAATCCTGGGGATGAATCCGGGGATCCTGGGAATCCTGGGGATTTTGGGGATCCTGGGAATCCTGGGGATGAATCCTAGGGATCCTGGGGGTCCTGGAAATCCTGGGATCCTGGGAATCCCGGGATCCTGTGGCCCGGGACCCGTGTGGTCCCAGCAGTGCAGCTCCAGGCTCAGCTGGATCACCCCCGGCTCTCTGCACCCAATGCGGGTGTTTCACCCCCTGCCCTTCCTGGGAATTCCTGGGAATTCCTGGGAATTCCTGGGAAGGTGCGGGAAGGTGCGGGAAGG